CAATAACCTAGATTGACTTGTAACCACAATTTTTTTGTAATCTAGGCCTATAGATATTGAAACATTAGGTTGATATGATTGAAAAAATAGAAACAGTTGTCAACAGTATGTTCACATTGTTTTGATATAACTGCCCAATGAAGGATTAGAGGGATACTGGAATATTACTCTTATTTATTGGAAGATAAGGTAAGATTAATCACAATAATCTGTATGTGTCTCAAAATGCTTAATGGGTAATACCACAAGTATTTCTGGGAAGCTTGACTTTTTGTTCTCAAAGCAGAATGAAACATATAGAGCTTAATAATTACATCAAGATTTCAAAATCTCATTTGAACAATGTGAATAACACCATCTGTAAATACTAAACAAATATAGGTATGTTATTGCTGCATTTCCCGACTAGTGGGTCAACCGACAAAAAAAAATAACAGAAATATTTTCACTACATGACGCAAGTACTTCTATTTGGCATGGCACAACCATTTTTGCTTATGTTATTTCTAACCCCCACCTGGCTCTGTCATCCAAAGATTACGTCTTTACGACCTAACAATCATGTCAAAAAACTTAGCAAAGTAAAGACACGAAAAGGCATAAGCATCGAAGATAATGAACTCACTAATGCCAGCCATCTCTCTCTAATGGGGAACGTTACGGCTAGAAAGCAAGAGAAATAACTTGCTCAATTTCAGGTGATAGTCTGTGCGTATAGTTTGGACAACCTCATTATGTTACTGTGGCATCGTAGTGACGTCATTTTTGAATGGCATAGTCAGGTGGGGGCTAGGAATAGCATATGCAAAAATGGTTGTGCTACGCCAACTAGAAGTACTTACGGTACGTTGTGTTGTGAACATTGTCCAGTATTTTTTTAACCCTTCAATATAACTGGACAATAAAATTCTTTTGCTGTTGGTCAGTTAAGCACCAATGTGCCTCATAATGTTCATATTCTGAAGAATAAAGCTGTAATTTAGCGTTAATAAAAAGATAGCAGCAATCATTTTGAACGACCCATTAACTGGAACGTTGATATAATCTTTGAATATGGTGTGTTTAGTGAATCGGGCCCATAAAAGCAATTCAATAGCCAGAAAATTCGATATGTTGTTCTATTGTTTCTATTGTTTTTTCATCAGGTGGTTTCTTTAATCTCAAGAATGGCAGATCAAGGTCAACAGCAAGAGGGAGCTAATATTGTGAACATCCAGGGTGAGATTTCATTCAAGTTATTTTAGTATCATTCGGTGTCTACAAATTTGAAAAAAAAAATGATATTGTGAAGAACTTTGCAACTTGTGCATGATAATTATTGGGAATTATTGAATCGCAGTGACAGATGCTGAATGCCTTGAAGTCTGATTTAAATTCACTAAGTCCATTTTGCTCTGCAAGAACTTTATTAAAATAAAATTTCTGTTTCATTGAAAATTATAATTTGAATCAGGAATGTTCACATATAGTTTTAAAATATAGGTACTCCTGAGGTATGTGTACCAAGATGGCGGACACCTAAACGTAGTATGTGTACCAGGTTAGGGTTAGGCCATAATTTCAAGTACCGGTACAAATACTACGGGAGTCACTTGGCTAGTCCCCGAACTCGTAATAAAACTAAAATAAGGAAAATTGGAATAAAATTATGGCCTAACCCAACCTGATACACATACTATGTTCAGGTGTCCGCCATCTTGGTACGCATACTTCAGGAGTACCAAGATATATTCCTTGCAGGAAACCTGATTCCATAAAATATTCGGATATTAAGGATTTAAACAATAATTTTCAACGAAACATAGATTCTAGTTTATTCTTCAGTGAATGAAGATTGATTTGACTTTTTTCAGGCTCAAATATTAATGAAGTTCATGGCGAAGTGATTCAAGTCGATAACATTCAGCAAGCTCAGGCAGAAGTAATTCATGCAGGCAATATTCAGCACTTCCATTTGCATTATGACAATAATGGTATGTTTATTTTACTTTCTCGGGCAATTTACTAACAACTGTTTCATTTTGAAGGTAATTTGCATGGCAGGAAGAAATAAATGTTTGGTTAACATCTTCTTATTTTAGATTTCACAGTTTCAAAGTGAATGAAATCCTTATTAGAAGTTTTACGCCTTCCTTTAAAACTTACCAACTAATTATTTCTAGCTGCTCCACCTCCAGTCGCACAACAACCTCAAGTACAAGCTGATGCAGGGTCTGCTGGGAATATGCAAGAGGAAATGCCGTCAACATCAGGTGAGAGTCAAGGACGATATTAAGTATTTTTATATGAAAAATTAATTACAAGCATTCATCCAGAAGTCATACAAACAGCAATTCATTTGGGCATTAGCTGTGTAAAAACGGCTCCTGAAACTCAGATTAAATCGCCATGCTTGTCTTATTAAAGGTCTTTATGAAAAGTCAAATATATTTTTATCCTTCATACACGCCTTATGACCATAATAAATATGTTATGACCCCCTTAGCAATTTTGAAAATACCTGGAGCTTTGGACAGTTGTGTATGGTGTTTCTTTCATCGGGACAATGTGAAACTTTGTTTTAGCTCTTCTTTTATTCTTGATCGGCCACCCTTTTTTGACATCTATACGTAGTTTCTGACGGTTTTGAATTAGCTTACTTCGATTCGAACATTTCCAAGTGTAAAAGGGGTTACACGGTAAAAACTTTGCGATTAGTTAGCCTGGTTAAAAAGTTATTGACTTCCTGGACCTACTATACATAACTCTCACTAAATATGTCATGTTCTCTTAAACAGGCTTTATACCTTTTTAAAAAAGTTCTAGGTTTTTTCCCTCTAAACAACCCCCACAATATTCAGCCACATGTTTTCTAACAGTGTTTCAAAGTGCTTTGCCTGTCACATCACCCATACATGAATATTCCACTGTTACCAGCCAATGATAAATCACAGAACAGAAATAGAAACTGAGTTTTTTTTTTAAATAATGAATGCAACCCCAATTCGGGGACTTCCTTTACTTTTAAACCTGCTTATGAGTCATTATTCAATAACAAAGCCTCCTTCTCAAACATTCACTGTTCAAAACTACAGTAAAATAGCCTGGTATCGACTCAATCAATCAAATCGTAAACTAAGAATGACCTATTTTCAGTTGCTGCCACCTAGTGGCAGTGCTCTCTTTTCTTGTTTTGAGTGCTCTTGTAAAAGAGAATTGAAAAGAAACACTTTACTAAGCATTTGTGTTATATATAGAATTGCCAATTTCAAGTTTACCACTTTAACCATAGCACGCACCCATTATCGTATCCCCTCGTCTCTCACAGGATAGGTTTAGTCGGTTGAAAGGTGTGAGTGAATGTGATAGCTAAAATAAATTTAAATGTGAGGTAAATTAGCAGAAAGATAATACGACAACTGTGTGATATCATAATCCTAAGCCAAGATATCAAATTAGGAGTTCACTTTTCAACTGTTCTTTTTAGATATTGTAGACGAAGTAAATTTTGAAAAAAATTGCCTGGAGTTTGAAACTTTGGCTACCTTTGATATAGGCAACGTATTCCACAATATGTTTCTGTGCGATGATTATATGTCTTGCAACAAAGTATTTTCATTTCAATTCAGGTTCTGCGTCTCGTTTACAAAGCAGAGAACAACGCAACATTGACTTAGGATACAGCAATCAAGATTTACTTGTGGCAGGTGAGTGTATTTATAATCTGTCCTGATATAATCATTGATTCCCATTTGTTTGAAGTCTCGAATGTTTTTATACGACGCTTACTCGTGTCTTTTGCTCCGAACACAGCTAATGTACAAGCAGCGGTACTCCCGTAGTATGTGTACCAGGTTAGGCCATAATTTACTCAGATTTTTGCTTATATTTGTTCTATTTCGAGTTCGGGGGCTGTCTTTGTTAGCCAACTGAATATACCCTCTGCCTATAGGCTTCCGTCCCTTTACACAACTTGATGTAAAATAGGCGAACAAAATTAGTTACCTCCATGTCGGTACACATACTACTGGGGCGACCAAGCAGCCAGTGATATGTTATTTTTGTAAGGACTGGAATCTTTCTGGTCCTGATTCCCCCCCCCCCCAATTTATTACACCTTGGGTTAGGTGGGGGCATGGGGCTTCAATCGCTAGGAACCAGGAATGTGCAACCTGCGGCCCACAAGAACGAATTGTGCGGCACGCATGGGAATCCCAATTTTGAATGGCGTGCGGTCCGCAAAACGAGTTTTACTGCAGTTCAATCTGGTAATTCCAGTCACTTTGTGTTGCCAAGACTATACCTGAGTCCAATTTGGTATCTATGCCTATGACAATACATTGCCCTAACAGCTAGCTTGTACGAAGTGAAAAAATATGTCATAAGATCCATATCTGAAGCTTGGTACTCCCGTAGTATGTGAACCAAGATGGCGGACACCGGAACGTAGTATGTGTACCAGGTTAGGGTTAAGCCATAATTTTATTCCAATTTTACTTATTTTAGTTCTATTACGAGTTTGGGGCTTAGCTAAGTGACACCCGTAGTATTTGTACCTAAAACTATGGCCTAACCCTACCCTTTTACACATACTAGGTTCTGACGTATGCCATCTTGGTTCACATACTACGGGAGTTCCCCAAAGTTTTTGTGCCTGCAACTATTAGAAAGCCTATGTTGAATGAAAGTGCGGCTCGCAGTTTCACCCACTTATTTGTATCTGGTCCTCCTGTATTGAAGGTTGCACACTCGCTTGCATTGCGTCGCCCAATTGCTACGTGTAGTCACTGCGAAGGCAAATACCTAAACTGTATGGCGTCTTCTTAGATTGATTTTTAATTTACTACAACTTTTGATTGTAATGTTTTTTTTGGTATAATCCTTCAACTTAGAGCAGAAGATATTTGATAGATTAGGCATAACTATCTAGTTTGCCTATCTTTCAATATGAGTTACTATCAATAAATTTTTACTTATGTGTACAAAATCGTTACTTATGTGTACATTTCTCTTCTATTAAGGTTCTGCATCATTATTACAAACAGAGAAACCTACGAATGTAGAAATTAAAGAATCAAACATTAACATTATTGGAGGTAAAAGCTTGAAATTTATGTCTGATTGTGCTAAATTGTGCTGTAACCTGAGTTTAAGGTGCAAGCAAGCAAATGCATGAGTTCCACAAATACTTGGCTTTAATTCACCTAAATGTTAGCAGCATCTCAAAACAGTTTACAAATTATGAAGCACCAACAAAACATGACTCAGGTAAAAGCATGCCATTTATGACTCGGCAGAAAATTGTCGATGGCAGTAAAACATATGCAACAAAGTTTAAATACCAAATACAATAAAAATTACCACAAATGGTAGCTTTGTCATTTCAGTTTTATACTATCGTTAAAGCTTGATTAAGTTTCTAAGTCATTTTCACTTGCCTTCTAAAGTCTGATGTCTGATGAAAAAAAAAAAAAAAATTCTAAAGTCTGATGCATAGAAGCATTGTTAATTGTTACATCTCGCTTAGTCTGACCAGATCACTGTCAGTTAGTGGAATTTTTACTTTAAGTTATGCTAAGGAATACTCTTGTTAATATTGTAGGTGGAGGAATGATAACCAAGGGAGAAGTAGCAACGACAATTATTCGTGACAGCGTCATTATCATCGGGGAAAGATCACATGATGGTAAATAAACATTTGATTTGAACAAATTAAGTGACCATCAAGGTTTTGAGATATAATATGATGCATTCAGAATCGTAATAAAATTGGTTTTGACTCCTGGTTGACAAATATGTTACCTCCGTATTGATAAATTTTTACTTTGACGCTAGCTCCAATTATTGGGAACCAATGTCCCGTGGCAAAAACTTTCTGTTAGTGTCTTCTGAAAATGCAAGCCAGTGCTTTTCGAGTTTTTCTCAGAAATCTTCAATTAATATCGTTCAAGTACTGACAAGTTTGACTCGACTCCAAGACTAATTTCGTTTCCAAGTGCAGAAGACGCTTTTGAACAAGTTTGGAATTTCCTGCTTCAGCAAAATTGTTATGCCCTTTCTAAACAAACTGTATGTCTTCGAAAAGATTTTGTTCCTGCTAATCAAGTCATGCCCTAGGACAGGGGTGGCCAACCTTTTTCGGCTCGCGAGCCAAAATTGGGTAAATTTAGCGACAAAATTCTTGCGGGTACCGACCAAAATTGAAAACAATTATTTGCTAGTTTCAAAGCAAAAATACACAAAAATAAACCCTATAAACACATACAGATAGCTTCACTATTCAGAAAAATATCATTCCGGCAATTAGATTTGATTACTTTTCTGATAGAGATTTTGCATTGGGTTTATATTTTGTAACTTTAAATAAAATACCTGAACTCTTTCGGGCTACTCCTGTTAGAAGACTTAATTAAGTACATAACTGAGAACACAGATTCACAAGCATATGTAGATGAAAACATGGAGAGTAATGCAGTTGTAAAGCTTTTAAGACACGAAATTTTTCGGGAATCAGAAATTTTTCATCCCAATCACGAAATAGTTCGTTTTTTGCACTTCTCTCTTGCATTTCCTTCCCTAATCGCCTATATTTCTTTCAAAATCAAGTTATAACTGTAAGTTAGCAAGTAATACTAACCAAAATGATCTGTACAACTTCACAAATCAAACAGAAGTGAAGAAAAGGGTGGCACAGTCTGACTATATTTCAATATTACGTAAGATTGTAGCCAAATGAATGCTGTGCTCTTCCTGACAAAATTTCTGGAGATCCTACTCATTTGTTACATCATAATGTATTTTTGTAATCATATGTCATGAAAGTACAAGAAGAGTTTAAATAAATAACGGATTGTTAACAAACGATAATGAATAAATTTACACCTAATTTCAACAGATAATTGAAGTCTTGAAACTTTTTATCTGAAGGTGAATGATCTCGTTTGCGAGGTCTCGCTCGCGTGCCGAATAATTGAGCTCGCGTGCCGAATAAGTAGGCTCGCGTGCCAGGGGTTGCCCATCCCTGCCCTAGGACGAGGTTTGGCCGTCCCAGGCATGTTATGGTCCTAAGGCTAATCCTAAACTGGTTATGCCCCTCTTAAACGATCTTTATGCCTTGGGTTTTGTTCCTACTAATCATGCCATGCCCTAGGAAAAATGTTTGGCTGCCATAGGCAAGCTATGGTCACTGGGTATGCTCCTTTAAACGAGCTGTATGCCTTAGAAAAGGCTTTATTCCTACTGAACCCCAAGAAAAAGGGTTATACTAAGCCAGTCATAGTCATCTTACTAAATTAACTATACCCCAATAAAATATGTTGTGCCCATCTCAGCCAAGCGATAGTCCTTCGAAAATATTAAGGTCTTTCCTAAGCTGAGTATGCCAGTTATTAATGAAGATTTATATTTATGACTTCAGGTGCAACAACAGCACAAAGAAGAAATGAATTCGCTGATGCCAGACTTGCTTCAAATGATTTACCCTGTCCAGTCTATGAGGTGGCGCCTTCTCAATCAGGTGTGTATATTGATAATTATCAGACATAGTGGGCCTATAAGTCTCAACTGTTGTTGTGACGAAATTGAAAAATAATGGGAATTCTGGAATATGATATCACACTTTTGTATTTCTTATATTCGAGCAATGCTATTTTTTCAAAGAGAAAATTAATAGAGCAGTAAGTCGAAATGAGCAAAATCTGAAATTATAAATTGTTATTTGTACTTGATTGACTTTGAATTGAATCCCACCTTTACACCTCACTCATAATGGTTTAATATAAAATGCACAAAACTGATATTAGTAAACGATTACGATTCACCAACGTTCCCCCGTTTATTTTTCTGATTACTAGAGTCACCTCCCATACAAAATTTGATTGAAATGTTGTTGATGTCATAATTATCAAAAATGTTATTTATATTTTGAAAAAAAAGTCATTTGAGCTCAAAAAAAATATTACTGTTAAAAACCATACCTGGTAAATAGTATACCTGTTAATTTTAAGCGGCGATCTATAGCACGAAAAGACTTCTCCCAATACGATACTTGCGATACCCTTCATACTGGTGAATACAAACTTTCATTTCATTAAAAATATTTGCTTTATTCTTTCTAGGTGACCTACAACCTGCACAGAGATCCACTCACAGAGGTAAAGCATTTTTGATGAGTTTGATACTGGGTTGTTTGTAACTCTCATGTAATAATTATTAGTTCCTAAAATACCAATCCAACATATCCTTCTGGAAACTTCATATTTTACTTGTAATCTGAATGTGACCATTCGTAAACCTAATGAAAACTTTCAGATTCATGTGTTGTGCTTCAAAGTTTTTTCATTTAAATTCAGGTTCTGCATCTCCTTTACAAAGCAGAGAACGACGCAACGTTGACTTAGAATACAGCAATCAAGATTTACTTGTGGCAGGTGAGTGTATTTATAATCTGTCCTGATATAATCATTGATTTCCATTTATTTGAAGTGTCGAATTTTTTTATATGACAAAATTTTGCATTTTGCTGTAATCACCTTTTGTTTTTGCCAGCATCACATGTCATTTAGCCCGTAAACACTTTCATGTCGGTTTTTGCTCTCCCTAAATCACAAATTTCCTTCAACATAGTACTCTTGTGCCACGCAATTATTTTTTGGCACTCGCAAAGAATTGTGAATCCAAAATCAGAAATTCCAACTTTGAAGCAGTCAGCGCTATTGCTTGGTATCTCATTGAAAGAGCCATCTTTTTTGCGTATAATGGCTTTTCTGGCGCGTAAAATATTCAATCCATGACAACTTCGAGATTCTAAAATGTCCTTCTATATAAATTTAATGGTGCTCCCAGAAGTATGTGCACCAATATGGCGGACACCGTGACGTAGTATGTGTACCTGGTTAGGGTTACGCCATAATTTTGTTCCAATTTTCCTTATTTTACTCATATTACGGGATCGAGACTAGCTAATTGACTCCCACAGTATTTGTACCTGAAACTATGGCCCAACCCCAAACTGCTACATATACTACGTTCCGGTATCCACCACCTTGGTGCACATACTTCTGGAGTACCAATTTAATTGTGTCTAACGTAACTCATGGTTGCGTCTTCTTGTGCCAAAATAAGAATTTTACTACGGTAGGCGATCTGTGGACATAAAAATAAGATATAAACTGCCTAATGTATTTAGTTTTCATTCAGATTTTTGCAATCCTGCCAACTCATTATCGCTGTTAGAAAAATCTTAAGATTTGATGAAAAATCTTGTGGAGTAGCCTAAAATTTTATTTTCACTTGTTAAAAATAATGACATTTTAAATGAATGATGAATTCTCTGTAATTCTGTAAGTAATCCATTACCGATACGAGCATGTTTAAACTGTCTTGCTATAATAATTTAATGATCTTCAATAGGGCCCGACCGATTCTGCCTTTTTAAACCGATACCGATAGTTTTCTAAAACTAGGCCGAAGATCTGATAGCGATGTTTTCTCACATAAAAAGATGGCTACAAGTAACAAGCAACACTCTGATAATTTTCTTTGCAAAAGAAATGAAATCTATACCAGAATGTTCAACTCGTGCAATGACGACGAAAAATTACATAAAAAAATTAGAGGTTTTTAAAATTGGGATTTCGAAAACTTTTGAGTGTTGACAGTTGAAAATTGCACATACTCTCAAAACTTCATTTACTCAATTCCTATGAATTCAGTTTTAATAAAGCATGCAAAGCCTGTAGGTGCTAATTAATGCCATTATCATTAGTCTTAACTCTGGAGGTTTTTTGTGTAATTTTCAGAAAAATGATTAACAACCATTAATAACATTGAACTGTAGCCCAAGAACTTTTATATTGCATTTAAGAAGATATCGAATTCGGAGCTAGGGATGAAATTATTATTTGGTGATCGTATTGTTACTGTTGCCTTCAAAATGCAAGAGTGCAATCATTTGTCATAGTAATAGACATATAATACGAAGTATTGCCATCATAGGAAAATACAAATTTCATTGAAAGCATATATTGCCATCATGAGGATTCCCCACAGCTCAACACCTCCAAATATATTCTATTTATAGAACTAGCATTTTCAGCCGAAACTAAATTGCCTTTTTTCCCCTTTTGTACTCTTTCAAAAACGTCATTATCGGTAATAACCTTCCAGTTATGGCCATACCTGAAATGGATAATTAGACGGCAACTGCAACGGCAAAATTTGTGGAAAACAAGGCCGATATATTGGACGGCCGATATATCGTTCAGGCCCTAGTCTTCAATTTAACCTGCAGTTACGTCGACAAAATAAAAATAAATAGGCGGTTAGCAAAATGCAAGTTTTCCTAAAATTTCAAAAGGGGAAGTTTCCACCCTGACCCCCCCATGGCTGCACCAGGGCGGCGAAATGCTAAAGACAAATAAAGGAGTGAATACGTGGCGCAAATTTTTGTATATTGAAAAGTGGCCGAATACAATACTAGAAATAGAAACCGAAAATAATTTAGGTTTTGTTGTAGTGAACAATCCTATTTCATAAAACACAGGTTCACAGAATTCAAACATGTGCAATCCTATGACTATTGACTATATACTATATATCTCTGTATATTATGATATTTTATTTTCGACAGCATTATTCAACTTGTAATTTATTGAATTCAAACCTTTTTCAGGGAACCATGCAAGAAAATTCATCAATTACTTCAACAACAGGACCTTGGAGCAAACCAAAGTTAACATCACAGAAAATTACAAAGAAGCAAAACTGAATGAACCAGACTTTGAGGTGAATCCTCAAATAAGAAAAGTACCAGACTTCTACCGTGGAGAAATGGCCCCCAAAGTTACGGAATATAAAATTGAGACAGAATTTACTGTTGAAAAAAGTGATATTGGTGAACCTATTTCTCTGGATGTGCTTGTGGGACATTTGAGCAACAAAGAATACAGATACATTGTCATACTGGGGCATGCGGGCAGTGGGAAGTCGACAATCATGAAACGTCTTGCTCGAAGTCTTCTAGTTGCCAACAAATTAGTCGAACAAGCTCAAATAAGTGAAGGATTAAGGATTCGGCTATTTGGTAGTACAGGACGTCGTTTCAAATTTATTCATCACTTGAACATTAAAGATATCCCGTTTTTAGGAGGAAACAAAGCAGAAGAAGCCATAAGTCCATGCGAATTACTTTTTGGGAAAACAGCTTTTGGACTCGCAACACAAGATGTGGGAGAAGGTTACGAATGGCTGCAAGAAAATCAATCAATGTGTATTCTTTTCCTTGACGGCCTGGATCAGGCAACTTGGAATCTCCTTGGAAAATACAACAAGATGAAGTATACCGATAAATCGAGCACAGCAACAATCATGTGGAATCTAATAACAGGCAATCTCTTTCCCAGAATGACATTCGTGATTTCTTCTCGTGAGCACAGAATAGCATCCCTTCCTTTAGAATTGAGGCCTCAATTCATAACTGCCCTTGCTGGTTTCACTCGAGACGACATCAAGAGGTTGTTTATTGCAGTTGTCGGGGACGACGGTGAAAAAGCTTGGGAAAAATTAACAAGGCAGTCACCCGCACTCATTCCATTATCATCTGTTCCACTTTTTCTAATATTCAATGCAATCGTTTGTAAGTTCAACCCAGAGAAACTACCAGGTACTATGACAGAGGTAATGCTACGAATCCTTCACATCTTCATGCGATCCGATCACACACATGAAAGGAAACGGATTGAAGAAATACTTCCAAACTTGATGGGAATGTCCTTCGAAGGCACAAAAAATAAACGAGTCATTTTCACAATTAATGATCTCACAAAATTTCAACTTCAATCCAATGAAGTTCGTGACATTATCATCAAGGTACCTGGGAAAAACATGTTTAACCAACATCTCATGGAGGGAGACCATCTGATGTTCTTCAGCCATCAAGTCCTTCAAGAAGTTTTATCCGCTCTCTATATTTCAAACATGGATTCTACTACTTTTCGCACATTTATCGAAACTGAGTTCCGAGATGATCATTGGGCAGTTGTTCGCCATCTATTGGGTGGAATTATTCTGAATCCTGATATCGAAAGCAATCTCATAACAAACTTTTCCCCTGGTAAGTTAAATGTATTGTTATGTCCAGTGGCGCAGCCAGGGGGGGGGGGGGGGGGGGGGGGTTCGGGGTCGAAACCCCCACCTTTTGGATTTTTTTGAAAACAGAAAAAGTCGCCGATAACGCGTGCAATTGCTTTCTGCTAAAATCGCCGTATGTTTTCATCAAGGCGGCGTGTTATTTAGGCCGTAATCGCCTTCTCGTTGGTATTTATTCTCTCTAAATCACAAATTTGTGCCACGGGAACAATTATAATTATTTTATTTTTGTACTCTCACGGAATTGTGAAAACTGAAAAAGCGTGCAATTGCCTTCTGCTAAAATCGCCGATTGTTTCCATCAGTGTGTTATTTAGGCCGTAAACGCCTTTACGTCGGTATTTATTCTCTCTAAATCACAAATTTGTGCCACGATAAACATGATGATTATTTTTTTTTTGTATTTTGCAAGGAATTGTGAATTCGGTGAGAGTTATTATGCGTTCATCGGCGTCGAGGTTCTAAACACAAATGAATGAGTAAACCCGCGATCTAAATTTGACTGAAAATCGACAATACAAAATACTGATAACAAAACCGTAAACAATAGGCTATAAGATTAGTTGAGTCCCGCGACAGTCTAAAAACGCTTTTCTAGTCTAAAATCGCTTTTAAAATGCGCAAAATTTCGTGTGCCCATGGCACACATTATGTTTCCTCGCTGTTTCGGAACATATCGCCATTAAAATCGAAACACGGTTAATTGTGGGTGGGATCCATTACTTTACAATTGTCGTCGAAAATTTTGGCGTTATCATTAAACAAGGTTGAAAACGCGATTTTTTCGCGATTTCCGTTAGTGATGATATATAAGATAATTAATCTGAAGTATATCCATCAATTTTCATTCTACTGAAATAAATTTTACTCCATGAGAATTTACAATAGATTTACGGATTTTTCGAAAGCTTTTATCTTTGAAAATAATCGGAATGGCAGCATTGCGATTGAACGGAGTCAATGTTACAAGCACATCTCAAATTTGTCGAATTTGCAAAATAGAAAAAATACGGATAAAAACAATATATAATAGGGCAGTTTACCACACATTTTTATGCAGAATTCCGTGGTGTTTTAGAGTGGCTCTTGTTTTGTCGGCACAACCGCAGGATAAATTGAAGACAATTAAATTAATAAATCAGGACATTTTAAATATGCACTTATCGGTCATGGATAGGTTACCTTGCGCAAGAGAAAAATCATTTTTCGTTAGAAAAGTCGGCTCTTCTAACAAGTGACGTAATCGCGGCGACTGTTCGGCGTGGATTTTGAGGCGGTGAATTTGTATATTTTATTTACTGTTATACTTTATATTTATTTAGTATTTACTTTATATTTATTATATTTATTAGCGCCTGGTTATGTCTTTCATACCATGTTTGGATTTGTTCGACATCTAGACTTTCATGGCTTTGAAAAAAGTAGACAAGACTGATTTATTGGATAATCCCAAAGCACGTGAACTAAGATGGCGGACACCGGAACGTAGTATGTGTACCAAGTTAGGGTTAGGCCATAATTATCATCCAATTTTAGTTCTATTACGAGTTCGAGGACTAGTCAAGTGACTTCACTAGTATTTGTACCTCTAATTATGGCCTAACCCTAACCTGGTGCACATACTGCGTTCCGGTGTCCGCCATCTTGGTTTACATACTTTAGGGATACCAATTATTGTGTATTGAACTGGCGGAGAATCAGGCCTGTAGTTATGCAATTTGTACTACAACTATGGCCAACTTAGTATTTCGTTGCCCCAAATAAGTCCCACAGAATTGAAACTCCCATCTTTTACATCAGCTTAAAGATCATATTAGCCTTTCTCAAACTAAAAATATTTTTACTTACCAGATGCCAGACAAGATGAGAAGAAAAAAATTCTGAGTGAATTTCTATCATCTCAGTCACATGAAGAAATGGAATCATATCAGAAGTTCGAGCTGTATGGAACATTATATGAAGCTAACGACACCGATCTTATTCAATCCTGCATCAGGGAGATTGATTTCCATTACGAATCCTTCACTACAGCAGGGATGCATGTAATGTCATCAGATATACGACGCTGCAACCACCTAACTCGGGTTTGTCTAATCTACTGCAATCTCAATGCTGAACTGGTTCATATCCTGAAGTCAAATTTAGAAGGTTCCTGTTTGAAGGTAAACTTAATATTGGAAGTTGATAAAAGTATTTCTATTCAAGATCACCAATTGTTCCAACTCGTATCATAGAGATTCGTCTAGCTCAGGCGGTTCTATGTTCTACCTCAGTGGTTGCCAACCTTTTTGTTGAATTCCTCCCTTCGTCCATTTTGGAATTCATTCCTCCCTGCCCTTGTATAAAAACTATTTTATTTATTCAATCTTCAATGAATCCTCCTATAGTTTCATGCACAATTCACACTCAGGATCTTCTACAGTTTTAGTAGTTTATAATTTGTGCTTAATTTTTATAAGAGTAATTGAGAACTAAAGAATATTAGTACTAAAGCAGTATTCCTCCCCAAGAGGAAAAGAGGAATTCGACAAGAATTGGGCTACCATACCAAAATCATACATCAGATAAACTTGATCATATCCCATCATGTTAAATTTTCTTAGAAGTTCTTATTTATTTCAGTTGGATAAACTAGTTGTCAGTGAAAACAGGGATCTTGAACCTACTGGTTGGGGGGAAGTTGGATTAGTTGTTACACAATGTCAGGTGAAGGTATTCAGGGCTATGGATTGCAATCTGACAGCAGAAGGAATGAAAGCTTTCAAGGAAAACACTGGCAATGCAAAGGTGAGTTGAAATCTTTGAGAGTAAAAAGTAACCAGCATAAATGCGTAATTATAAATTGAAAAATCTACAGAAATTGGAGTTGTTAGGGCAGTACATCCAGCTATTGTAGTATGCACGAGTCCATTAGTTGAATCATGACCTACTGGGAACTCGATTGCGGTATATGGCTTGTTAACTCTAAGCCTGTGGTTCTCAATCTTTTTTTTTTCGTTGCGCAAAAATTTTGTGGTTCATCAACTTTCTCAAGCAGAAAAAAACTACGAGAAAAAAAAATTCTCTTTGCAAAGATAAACACTCCTATAATTAAAATAAGAATCAGAAAAAACATCGTCATCGTTTATTGCTTCTGCATTTGGAGTTTTAACTAAATTTTTTAAGAACTCTAGTAATTTTGCCCCTAAACATGTTTCTGTGGTCCACTTGTTGAGAACTATTGCTCTAAGCCAGGGGTCGGCAGACTGCGGCCCTCGAATGACTTTTAATTCATAAAACGAAAATTGATTCTAAATGCATTGTATCCACATGGATTTATGTGGTAACAAGTGCCGCTTGTTTTATAGCAAGCAGGGATGGCCAATTCGAATAAAGTATTCGAATATCTCGTCATTCGAATATCGGAATTCACGTTCATGAGAATATCGGATATTTGTGTGACGTCACACATTTTCGACGCCGCTTTCAAGACGTTTCCGTTAAATGAAAACATTCTCGATAGAAACTTGCACGTGATTGTTTTCATCACTCATCAGCGTAACGTGTTATTTAGGCCCGTAAACGCCTTTACGATTGTGTTATGGCCTATTACGATGGCCCATTAACTTTTCGTTTTGTGGCCCATTAACTTTTCGTTTTGTGGCCCATTAACTTTTCGTTTTGTGGCCCATTAACTTTTCGTTTTGTGGCCCATTAACTTTTCGTTTTGTGGCCATTAACTTTTCGTTTTGTGGCCCATTAACTTTTCGTTTTGTGGCCGATTAACTTTTCGTTTTGTGGCCCATTAACTTTTCGTTTTGTGGCTCATTAACTTTTCGTTTTGTGGCCCATTAACTTTTCGTTTTGTGGCCCATTAACTTTTCGTTTTGTGGCCCATTAACTTTTCGTTTTGTGGCCCATTAACTTTTCGTTTTGTGGCCCTTTAACTTTTCGTTTTGTGGCTCTTTAACTTTTCATTTTTGTGACCGATTAACTTTTCGTTTTGTGGCCCATTAACTTTTCGTTTTGTGGCTCTTTAACTTTCAGTTTTGTGGCCCATTAACTTTTCGTTTTGTGGACCATTAACTTTCCGTTTTGTGGTCCATTAACTACCCGTTTTGTGGAATATTAACTTTCAGTTTTATGACCCAATAACTTTTCGTTTTGTGGACCATTAACTTTCAGTTTTGTGGCCCATTAACTTTCAGTTTTGTGGCCCAATAACTTTCCGTTTTGTGGCCCATTAACTTTCTGTTTTGTGGCCCATTAACTTTCCGTTTTGTGGCCCATTAACTTTCAGTTTTGTGTCCCATTAACTTTCCGTTTTGTGGCCCGTTAACTTTCAGTTATGTGGCCCAATAACTTTCCGTTTTGTGGCCCATTAACTTTCTGTTTTTTGTTTTGTGGCTCATTAACTTTTCGTTTTGTGGCCGATTAACTTTTCGTTTTGTGGCCCATTAACTTTTCGTTTTGTGGCCCATTAGCTTTCCGTTTTGTGGTCCAATAACTTTTCGTTTTGTGGCCCATTAACTTTCCGTTTTGTGGCCCATTAACATTCAGTTTTGCGGCCCATTAACTTTTCGTTTTGTTGCCCATTAACTTTCCGTTTTGTGGTCCAATAACTTTCCGTTTTGTGGCCCATTAACATTCAGTTTTGCGGCCCGCTAATTTTCAGTTTTGTGGCCTATTAACTTTTCGTTTTGTTGCCCATTAACTTTCCGTTTTGTGGTCCAATAACTTTTCGTTTTGTGGCCCATTAACTTTCCGTTTTGTGGCTCATTAACTTTTCGTTTTGTTGCCCATTAACTTTCCGTTTTGTGGTCCAATAACTTTTCGTTTTGTGGCCCATTAACTTTCCGTTTTGTGGCCCATTAACTTTTCTGTTTTGTGGCCCATTAACTTTCCGTTTTGTTGCCCATTAACTTTCCGTTTTGTGGTCCCATAACTTTTCGTTTTGTGGCCCATTAACTTTCCGTTTTGTGGCCCATTAACATTCAGTTTTGCGGCCCGCTAACTTTCAGTTTTGTGGCCGATTAACTTTTCGTTTTAGGCCCACTGAATTAACATTCAGTTAGGTACCGTACTGTGTGCAGGGATTCGTTCAAAAAGAATTGTTTTAAAAGTAGTATGTGAACCAAGATGGTGGACACCGGACGTAGTATGTGTATCAGGTTAGGGTTAGGCCATAATTTTATTCCAATTTCCCTATTTTTGTTCTATTATGAGTTCGGGGACTGGCCAAGTGACTCCGGTAGTATTTGTACCTGAAATTATAGCCTAACCCTAACCTGGTGGACATACCACGTTCTGGTGTCCGCCATCTTGGTTCTCATACTTCGGAAGTTCCGATATTTTTTGTATTAATTAATTAAATAGGTTAAAGAAAAATGGATGCAAAAACATGCCAAGCGCTTCTTATTCGCAATAAATCCTTCGAAGCGCCACAAATATCGATGAAGGCCCATACACGCCTTCTCAAGCTTTAGTTCAATGCGTCCGCAAAAGTGGTTGGCGCAGGAAGATGCAACCGATAAGCCATTACGTGAACGACTCTACGACAAGAACCACCCTGCGAAAATTGAAATACGACCGAATAAATGAGTTTGTATAACTTTGAAAAACTCCATCACTTTAACATTAAGAACAAAGTATGCTAAGTATACATTAAGATTAACCGAATAGTTTTAATCGTAATAATGCCTTTAGTTTATGAGAAAAATGTCAATACAGAAACTCAAATCCCCATTATGGGGTGATAACAGATTAGTTTTGACATCATTGCATCAGAGGGGTCTTACAATTAGCATAGCCTGTTTATCGTTTAAATCAGGTTGCCGCCGATGTAACTATATTCTTCATCATCGTACCGCACCTTGTTTTGCCGAAGGCTGCCCTTGATTGAATAAGTTTCATGATCAAAATGTCTCTCTGGTATTTCGGATATATATTCATGTTAAAATTGTATGGCTTTCGTATAGATCCAAACTTGGCAATATATGTACGCAATAGAAGTGAAAGTTAAAGCAAGAATTTTGACTTACATTTTTGAAAATATAATATCGGCAACTTCTGCGTCTGCCAGAACGCAACGTTCTGGAGTAGTTTCACGAGGATGCAAAGGGTATTTCAATAAAAAATACAGAAAAAACAAATGATTAAAACAAGCCCTTGTTTTAAAACGGAATGTTTTTTTAGAATTGATAAAAAACAAAACCCTAACTGTGTGCTATCAAACTTCTCCGTTATGACGTTAGCCGCTGTTATGAGGTCATAGACTTTACGAACATCCAGCCGTTCAGGGTTCGAAATGGGTAGAGGCAGGGATGGCCAATACCGAATAGTTCACTATTTCGAATACTTCGAAAATAAAATCAAGTAATAGAAGCCTATCTAAGTGTATGAAGGATTTTCCATACAATAAACAATGGAATAACTGCTATCTATAACCTGGCTATATAACCAGGCATTTCATGTTTGGAGATTATTGCGATGTATATATTTTATATACTATGAGTTATATTAACAGAATTAAATTAATACGGCAAGGCATTTTAAACAGTGGTATCGCTGATGGATTTGAATATTTGCTCAACACAAAATCATCCTAGTAAAATGCCCATACTTTTAAATACCAACCATTACCCAAATTATTTGCCAAAAAGCTGGATAAAGTACGAGTTATTTTTCCGACTTGTGACAACTTTTTTCGTGAGTACAAAAATAAGAATCAAAAATTGATTATATTCGGGAACTTTACCACACATTTTAAGTCCGCAGATCACCTTTGTATATTTGAGTAAAAATACTTTTATTATTTTATAAATACGAAAATAGGAATCAAAAACTAATTATAATCGGGTATTTTATAACACATTCTAAGTCCACATATCGTTGTTGTATTTTGTAAATACGAAAATAGGAATCAAAAATTATTATTAATTGCGAGTTTGCCACACAATTTATGTCCACAGATTGCCGTGATATTGTGCCCGAATATAAATAATTTTTTATTCTTATTTTCGGACTCACAGAAAAAATGTTACAAGTCCGAAAATAATTTATACTTCATCCTGCTTTTTGGGAAATAATTTTGATAATGGTTGCCATTTGTTTGTATTTAAAAGTATGGAGTTTTTACTAGGATGATTTTGTGCTGCGCAAAATATTCGAATCCATGACCGACACCACTATTTAAAATGCCTTACCGTGTTAATTCAATTCTATTAACGTAACTCAAATGTAGGTAAATCGGGCAGTTTACCACACATTATAAGTTCACAGTTCGCTGTTGTATTTTAGAGTTATAATAGTTTTATTATTTTGTAGATACGAATCCAAAATTAATTATTATTGGGCAGTTTACCACACATTTCATGTCCACAAATAAATATCTTTGGCATTTGGTATTAATACTTTCATTATTTTATAAACATGAGAATAGGAATCAATAATTAATAATATCGGTCAGTTTACCGCACATTTTATGTCCATAGATTGTCGATACAACCATGAGTTACGTTGAACAAAATTAAATTAATACGGTATGACATTTTAAATGCTGGTATCGGTCACGGATTGAATTATTTTGCGCAACAAAAAATCATCCTGGTACGATACTTTCAACTATCGCTATCAAAATTATTTGCCAGAAAGCGGGTAAAAGTATTTTTCCTAATAAATCGACTTGTTTTTTCGACTTGCAATTGCAACTATTCATATGACATCGTAACAATTACGACCATAAATAATTATCAAATTTTTGACTTAATGGAAATGAATGTGTAAATAAAAGCCTCCTACACGAATGTCGGAAATGTCCACTCGTGCAAATGTGTCGCAACACGCACGGTCGTACAGAATATAAACAATCAAAGTGCAGATTCTATTTCATCGTCATTACAATACGTGAGAAAGCGTAAAGTGTCGTTTGAAGATTCCGGTAAAACGAAACACCGTGTTTACGGCGAAAAGTGGCTACCATTCGAAATTATTCGAAAATCAGCAGAAAAGGTATTCGGATACTTTGCTATTCGAATAAATTCGAATATTCGATTCGTTTTGAACAACCCTGGGTAGAGGACTTCTCACCAAGTCCGGTTGTTAGACGAATACCAGTACTACGAATCAATAAGAGTAAAAAAAAATCATGAAACTAACGGACATGCCATCAATACTTCGTATTTTGCAATTCGCTTATAATATATATATTAATATTGGGAAAATATTTGGCGGACCGGCAGCAAGGTTGCCGCGGACCGGTGGACCGGCGGTTGAGAACCACTGATGTAGTGACAAATTTTTTAGTAATGAATACCATGTACTTTCAGCATTTATAAATAGCACTCTCTCTAATGCTGCAAACCTAGTATAAAATATTTGCATCTCATGGCCGAGTGCGACCTTTTCCATATATTACAATTACGCTAATAGGAACACATGTAAACCAAACACAACGAGGATGATTATCGAAAAACATGAATATAAAAAGTAAATAATGATATGATAGTGGTTCCCAAATAATTTGGAATGTGTCGCGAAATATCGATTCATTTGATAAATAATTTTTATTCGACCTCATGAAGCGTTGAAATCCTTAAAATTAACGTCGAACGAGAAGCGCATAAATAGCGCATTATACCCTTTGATACTAAGTTGTGAAATACAAAAAATAGCTATGAAAAAACATTAAATTAACTTTAATGTGAGAGCGCCAAAAACACACAGTCCATACTGAGGCAATTGCAATTTATGTGGCCGCACTTGGTAGGGCGCGTTAATTAATGGTGTAAAATAAATTTAACAATCATCAATTATAATCGAGCATTTCAGCATGTTTATTTTCTGCAGGCAAGATTCGTAAAATAACACTTTCAGACAAATTCATTTTTGCTGCAAAATCTCAATTTTCAGTTATTATCGTTATACAAACCACGTGTGGCAACTTTTTAATTCATCGTCGACCAAAATATCGCCTGACACTCGACTGAACGTGTGTGAAGCGTGAACGATAGGAACGGATTCATCAGCGACTTGAATTCTGGAAAATGAGTATTTTATTGGGAGTGCAAATTACGAAATAAGTGTAACAAAACGCATTTTTTTTTGTGATATAACTTTGTATTTTCAGAAACGGGTTCTCGTAAAAAGTAAAATTTCGTCTAAATTAATCGCGAAATTGTTTTATTTTAAGCCAAGTCGGAAAAAGTATTAGCACCCAACCTATTTGTCAGTTTCATATTTGCACGAAAATATTGTCAAATATTGTCATTGAACAAGGGTCACATCCAGCAATTGCAGTATAAACGAGTCCATCGGTTGAATCATGACCTGCTGGGGACTCAAATGGACTTGGTTTCTATGCTTTAATTGGTGAACCTGACACATTTAAAATTTGATTCCAATTGCTTTCATTCAAGACACGACTTGAAGGTTTGTGTATTGGTACCTACTAGAGATGTATCGGTATCTGCAATATCGGCCATTTTATCGTTATTAGCAAAATGAGGGCTAATATTCCCTTTTTGATCTGATCCAGAATGTTTAAAAAAATTAGTTAGTGGAAGCAGGGGTCCACAACCATTTTGCTATTGGCGGCCACATATCATTAATTTGTATTCAAACGGCCGCCAGGGGGTTGATGAGCGTGCCTAAGGCACGCACATTTTTTGCTTTTATGACATCATAACCGCGTATTTGACCCATGCGAGGTGTAGTCTGCCCAATTATGAAGTATGTAGGACTACTTGGAAGTATAATATTCGCATTTTAAACGAATTTTTCTCCTTCGGTGGACATATTCTTGAGCAGATATATTGCAGCAAGTTGCATAATGGTTGCACAATTTGGAAAAAAATCGAAAGTCTGGGAGGGGGAGGGGCGGTTGCCTCCATTTTCTTGTCCCCAAATGTATAATAAAATGTCAAATATTTTAATGAATTTATTCTATAAAAGTTTGCAAAGCATTGTAGCAATTTAATGACGACATGAAGTAATGTTTAAAAGTTTTAGGCAGTTTAATATAGGCTAGTGCTGTAATAAACAAAATCTGGTTGCTAACAGCAACTTTAGTGTCAGTGGATATCTATTTAGATCACTTCATTCATTTTCTCATGCAGCTGTTTTGCTTGAGATTCTTTATTACTGGTTAATCAATTGCTTTGTTGACATTCCTACCATGTTAAATATTCTTAAAGTTCTTATTTATTTCAGTTGGATGGAATAGATGTCAGTGGCAATATTGATCTTGAACCTGCTGGTTGGGCTGAAGTTGGATTAGTTGTTACACATTGTCAGGTGAAGGTGTTCAGGGCTTGGAATTGCAAACTGACAGCAGAAAAAATGAAAGCGTTCAAGGAAAACACTGGCAATGCAAAGGTGAGTTGAAATCTTTGAGAGTAAAAAGTAACCATCATAAATGCGTAATTATAAATTGAAAAATCTGCAGAAATTGGAGTTGTTAGGGCAATACATCCAGCGGTTAAAGTATGCACGAGTCCATCAGTTGAATTTGAAAAAAAAAAGCTGTGCCCTACACGAATATTCCATTCAAGACTCGACGTTGATTTGGGAGATCGGTGTATTGGTACCTACTAGAGATCTATCTACAATATTGTCCATTTTTCAGTATCAAATAAAAGCTATTCATCAGCCAAACTAACTTGGCTACTTCCGCTACCAAAATTTTATATAAAGCAATCAGATATTAGTGGATTTTTAAACCAAATATAATGCTACAGAGGCACAAAATCCTGCACAAGCCATTCAATGTATTTTTTTAACAGGATAAGTGAACATCTTTATGACGTCATACACTAAACAAAACATTCAGCATTCAGGGCTTGAAATGAGCATATGACATCTGAACGAGTTTGGTTTACGCATTAATAGGAGTTAAACTCACAAAATAGATGAACATCAATGCCTTGCATTTTGCTATTAAGATATAACATTGGATTATAGCTGACGAACCGGCAGGATGGTTGACGCAGACCGGCGATTTGAGGCTTTTATCTATGAATATTCTATCATCTAGGACATAGGTTCTCAAAGTGCTCCGTACGGAGCCCCAGGGCTCCGCGGGAGAAACCTAGGGGCTCCGCGTGCTATTTTATTATATTTCAAAATACTGACTTTGCTAATTTTGTAATTGTTCAAAGAAGCAATAACAGCTTTCGCGATTAAAAAAAAAAATTTCAGTGGATAACGAGGTTTCTGTTGCGTAAAATATTCAATCCATGACTATTGAGAGCAACTTTTAAAATGTCTTGTCATAATAATTTAATTGTGCTTATCGTTACTCACGTTTGATTCGAGATTACTATTAGAATTACTGAAATAAAAGATTACTATTCTAAAATAATATAAAATACGTGATAAACTGCCAACAATGAATAAATTGGAATCGTATTTTTGCGATCCTGGGAATTGTCAAACTTGATTTGTTCTTTCGCACTCGAGATTATTTTTAGGCAAGATATCAGCGTTACAAAAAGCCCTAGGTTGATGTTAAAGCTCAAAAAGTACAATTTACAATCTATGACCGATGCGGGCATATTTAAAATGACTTGTTCATTGGGTTAATTGTATTCAATGTAATAAATCATTACTTATCAAATTACCCCGGCAATCCACGGACATGAAATGAGAAACAAAGTTAAGTGAACGAAGTTCTTGTGGACTACCGTATATTCTGAACAACACTGTTATCATAGGATATTAGAAACAAAGTCATGCTTCCCAAAAAAGATAATACCTACTACCGGTGCCTGTAGTTTGAGAAGATATTTGTGCCCTTGCCGAATGATTCATAATCGTAATCCTGGCTGATTGAGTGGCAGTGTGGTAGATTTAGCGAATTTGACAAATTTGAGCCGTTCTTGCAACACTAACTCCCACCGCGCAGGTCTGCCACTCAGATTCTTTGCAAGATATCGCGTTTAAAAAATCACAAGGTCTGGGCAAAATACGAACGATTGAAATTTATGTTATTGCATGCGGCTCCGTCGGTAGTCTATGAATGGATGAAAGGTACATCGCGCGCATAATTGACTGTGTTTCGATTTCAGTTACTACGATGAATAAGCAAAGAAAATCCAACATAACACCAAATTTTGGGATTTACAATGTCTAAAAAAACTTTAATCTGTCGTGAGTTGTTGAAACAGAACTTAGTGTTTTAAAAC